AAACTCATCTTGATCATGAGCCTAATTATTATTCACCAAACTGTCATTATTCATGAGTCTAATTAATATTCACCAAACTGTCATTATTCATGAGCCTAATTAATATTCACCAAACTGTCATTATTCATGAGCCTAATTAATATTCACCAAACTGTCATTATTCATGAGCCTAATTAATATTCACCAAACTGTCAGTATTCATGGCCTAATTAATATTCACCAAACTCATTCGTCACTTTGTGAATGTCAAATTGTTGAGTGTCAATTGCAATTAGACACTGATTTGAGTTTAAAATCATGGAAATATTGCAATTAGACACTCTGATTTGAGTTTAAAATCTTTATAAATACTACAATCTATAAAACAAAGGTATTCCTCAGCAAATCAGCCATCTTGTAAAAAATTAAATAATGCTGCTAAGCATGGCATTGGTCCTAGTGACAAGTTACAGTTATAATACAAAGTACAATTGTAAACTGTCAACTCAATAGATTGTAAAATGCAAGAGATCACAATATAACAGACAATATAATGCCCTTTTAAACAAAGTCAGTTTAACTCTCTAGAGAGAAATATCATGCAATTTAAATAAGAAACATTTTTGTATGTTGTATTTTTATTTATGTAGCGTTTCAACTCTTGACAAGTGTTTTAATCACCGTTTCTTTTGTGGATAAATTGAATTGACAAATTATATGAAAACCTATAGATAATATTTTGTGGACACAAGTATATTGTTATATATATACGATATTTACTTTTAGGTCAACGTTAGCAAACACAAGTGGTCAAAGCTGAAGTTTTGTATCAAACAAAGAATAAAAAAGTATCCCAACACTTGTGTAAATTTTGTTTTCCCCGAAAGAGCATAAAAAATGTCATATGTTAGTTGTGTAGTCAACTATTTAAGGCAAATCAACTAATATTCAACAGATTATTTTTAAAAGTTTAAATGATAATTTGAAAAAACGAAACCATACACTTGCTAAACGCATCATGCTTATCATAATCCGTAGTTATTGGACTGCATAAGACGTCCAGAAGGTTCAGTCAACATTTCGCTATCGCCTGGGTAATGCGTGCAATGGAAAAAATGCATGTATCAAACTATATGATACAAATTGTGATTCACCCTATATCATACGACACATTGTGGAGGTACATACAATAAAGTATATTATGATCATTTTATATAATACACGAGGGTAAAAATTCTATTAAAGTTACCAGGACTCTGGGCAAAATGTTCAAATCTATAGAAATTGTGAAATGTCTATTAAATAAACTCATCTTCCAGTACCTACAATGTACAGCACTGACCTAGATATAAACAAAATACGTTTAGAGGGGTGTTAACTGTCAAAGCACAAATAATTCAGTATTGCTAGTCAACTTTTTTTCAATAATTTCATACTTTAATGAATGAAAGGAAAAAATAGTAATTTTTGTCCAAATAGATGGGTACAAGTGTGCATCAATTTAGCATAAAACATTGACACTTTAGTATCACTTTGGAGGACAGTCCTTGACCTATCTCTTTGTTTGGGCAAGTACAGTCTGACCTTCAACACCTAAGAGATTGGAGTTGTTCAATGTGGTTTCCTTGTACTGCGCCAGTTAAATCATTTTAAAATTTGTAATTTAACTGAATTTTTGTATATATCATTTCGAAGTAAATGATATTCTAACTTAATATTATAATTGCAGAAAAGTACCGGTATGTTGAGTTCAGCTGATCATGATGTTACTATCTATAGCAATAATAGAAACAGAGAAATAGATTAGGAAATACCAAGTGTTTTTTAATTTGTAGACGTTTAACAATTTACAAGATATCAAACAACTAGAACCTCAACGCTTAATCAAGTTAATAAATTATTCAAAAATTCTTGATAATAAAGTACACTTGTATCATTTCCCAGGTGCCATCTAGATTATAATTGTTTCAGAATTTACTTGTACATATTGAGCTTTTTAATACTGTAATTAACATATGTCGACACATATACCCCCCCCTCCACGGTTGAAAACACTTTTTGCCAAACTGGTCTTTATGCGAGTTTTGTCATGAAATTCATGCTCTCTCATATACAAGCAACACACTGAATCATTTACCTAATTTATTTTTGTTTAGTCACTTATCAATAAATTATCCATCCAGAGCTCTGAAATGATCTAAAAACAGAAAAGGTAATCTGACCTCATTTTGATGTTAATTTTCTCCAAACCTAGTATGATGACCCTATATTTTTATTTTATATTCTTCATTTTTATAGCACAAAATATGTAAAATTGTAGAAAAAATGTTTTACTCATGAGTGGCATTTTACTGTAGTACGTTTTATTGTTGAACAAATTATTAAGTACCCAAGTTACCAATAATACATATATATATTATTGAATGTATTTTTATAGTGTTACATCCTTTTCCTTTGTATTTGTATTGTTATCTTTCCATTTGTTTTCTTTCAGTGTGTCTTGTTGTATTGTAAACAGTTCGCATTACATTACATTACAGTAAGAAAGGAAAATAATTCTCAATGTAAAAAAAGTACCCAAGTAAATTTTTTTTTAGACTTGAAAACATATGTTTTGAAATAAAAACTGTTGACATCCCAGTCGTTTTATCACCATGGATACAACTGCATTTTTATAATATATATAAATTCTGAATGCAATTTCATATTTAACTTTAATCATTAAAGAGCCTAGAGATCCCATGTTGGTAATTTAATACATTGTAAATACCAATGTTAATTGATACGATTTAACATATAAATCTCGGATTATTAAACTGCCATAGAATTCAAGCCATGCAGTGGATAAACTTCAGTTATTGCATTTAAGTTTTTTTTTTCAAAAAAAATTAAATGTTTAATATTTTCAATTTGCTATTTTTTCATGGTGATCAAAGGGATATATATTTTAATGCATTTTGCATTCACCTCATAAATAATTGAAACTAACGTATTACAATTAATTTGAATTGTAGCAAAAGTTTCATTATGAGGTGACTGCATGCTAAATAGCTGTCTACTTGTCTAGTATAGCTGACTCCTTTGTATTTTTTTTAAGACTTGCAGCCAGAACCCATAGGAAAGTGTCCCATTTTGGCATTCTATCGTTTAAATCACCCATTTCAGAACTAAATGAAACCACTGATTAAAGTTTTTTTTGACTATTCCAGTATTTGAAGGACTCTTAAAACATTTAATTAAAGCTAAACAATTCAAATTAAGTATACTCTTCTCAAACGTGGTTTTAATGTTGCTATTGATTTGTATCAGCTCATTGCATGCCGAGTACATTACTCAATGAAACACAAACAAACAAGTGCCTGTCACAACAACAATTTTAAAAACATCAGCTGAGTTGTCGAATGAAAACAAATACAAACACATACATCCAATATGACATATATTGGTGTACAAGAATAAAACAATACAGAGGCAGCAAAATTACATTTCACTGGGTTCTATCAACAACATACAGATAGGAGATATGCCCTCTTACAATATGCAAATAACTAAAACAAATAGTAAATTGCAAAAGGTAAAAAAAAATACTAGGTCCCACACTAACAGCACTTACATACGAAACTGATACAACAATACAGTCAAAAAGATCGAGACGTATTTGCTACAAAAACCACTTTCTGTTATTACTTTCTGAACACAGTGTCTCTGAAACAACAAAAACAGTATATAATTGACCCTCATTATTTTATTTCCACGCTGCCATTTCCAAAACACTGAAGAAAATATTCTTTTACTCACTAAAAACATCAGGAATTTCCTTTACTTTTTTTTTTCCAAATTTACTCTGCCTTGTTCAGTGTATTCTGGTTTTATCAACTGTACTTTGGATACACTAATAGGTCTATATAAATGATATGTACCTATTCCACGTTTTGTTTCATTTAACAGTACTCTACAACAAGACATTTAAATTCTTCTCAGTCATACGCTCCTTCCATTGACATTAAAGTAGCCATAACTTGAAAATGGATTATTGTAGAAACATTTAATGTTTACAACATGCAATGAATTAATAATCAATAAATGCAAGAATACTTCAATATTTGAGCTAAAAATAAGCAAACACATGACCTGCTTTACTATGAATTCCATGAAAGTTGTAAATAACAAACCTGTTGTACAAAAAGGATACATTTCTTCAAAGAAGTCAATGTGTGGAGGCTGGAGAATGTCTAAAGCTTTTAATACCTGTAAATAATGGAAAATTCAGTAAAAATAAACAACCCAAGTGATACCAGATTCACTAAGACATTTTTGTATTCAACGTTGTACTTTAATTTTTTGGGGTAAGTAAAATACCTTTGATAAGAAAAATCCTTCAGCTAAAACATCAAAATACTGTAAAATACTTTATTTTAGCTGGAATTAATTTTTGCTGAAAAGACTTTTTGGGTGATTTTTATGGAATTTATTTTCACTAATTTTTGACAAGTTGAATGTGAAATATAGGGGAAAAAGGTATATTTGCTTGATTTAATTTTCACTGAATCTTCCTTCAGCGAAAATTAATTCCAAGCAAAAATTTTACAATAGTTAAATGGTTTCACAGTACAGGGTGGGGCCATTTTGTAAGTTAACCAAACAAAACATTTAGGCCTTGTTGACACATGTTGGAGATCTAAATTGCTTTGTGAAAATTCCTTATATGTACCAGTGGGCTAAATCTGCAATCTGCCTACACATCCAGTGGTTTAAATGCTTTACTCAACATTCACACCATTTCATTTCTATCTAGCTACCACTGGATCGCTGTTAAAAGGACATTGTTTTCAACCCAGAGATCCAGCTCACACATACTGTATACTGTAAAATACTTTATTTCCAATTGGAATTTATTTTCGCTATTTTTGCTAAATGAATGATTCAGTGAGAATAAAATCCAGCAAATATACATTTTTTTTTTACATTAGCTCGTCAATAATCTGTGAATAAATACCATACAAAACACCCAAAAAGTTTTTTCAGCGAAAATTAATTCCAGCTAAAATTAAGTATTTGACAGTACCCTGATTTTTGCTTCCTACATAAAGTATGACATCAATGTCAACAAATTGATAAATTTTAAAACCCGAGAAAACCAAACCTTGCGTATATCAGAAACCTGTCTAAACTGAACACATTTTTCAGTCCATGCTGACAGAAGACATTTCAACTATCTTTACCACTGTAGTTCTTAGCTTAAACAGGTGTAACAGAAAAAAAACATGCAGCCTCTCGGCTGAGATAGTTCCGCTGTTAGCAATGCACATTTCAATTAAAGAACAGTAGATATCATTAGAAAATGAACAATATGCATAGTATCAATGCAATGGGACTTGCTGTTTTCAACAAGAATTCAAAAATATCATTTTTCACCATAAATGATTGTGGTTTTTAACAAGAAGAAAATATCACTTTTTACCAAAAATGACAAAAATATTCACCAAAATTAGAGAATTGACGATATCATTACAAAATGAACAAATTGGAGAGTGGTCCACATGTAGTACCTATATATGTAATATCAAAGCAATTGGACTTGCGGTTTTTAACAAGAAGTCGAAAATATCACTTTTTACCAAAAATGACATAAATATTCACCAAAATTAGAGAATTAAAGATATCATTACAAAATGAACAAATCTGAGAGAGGTCCACATGTAGTACCTATATATGTAATATCAAAGCAATTGGACTTGCGGTTTTTAACAAGTCGAAAATATCACTTTTTACCAAAAATGACAAAAATATTCACCAAAATTAGAGAACTAAAGATATCATTACAAAATGAACAAATCTAAGAGAGGTCCACATGTAGTACCTATATATGTAATATCAAAGCAATTGGACGTGCGGTTTTTAACAAGAAGTTGAAAATATCACTTTTTACCAAAAATGACAAAAATATTCATTAAAATTAGAGAATTGAAGATATGATCATGAAATGAACAAATCTGAGAGAGGTCTACCCAAGGTACATATACACCAAGTATCAAAGCTTTCAGGCTTGTACTTTTCAAGAAGAAGTCAAAAAAGTAAAACTTTGACACGGACGACGAACAATCACTCATATGATAAGCTCCGCTCGACAAAGTCGACAGCGGAGCTAAAAAGAGGTAGAACTCACATTATCATGACGAAAATAGAATAGCATTTTAAGTTCTCTGTAGACTCTTTTACAGGATATAAGATTTTGGAAGACATTGGGCATTTTCTTAAGTGCCACTCTCTTGCCATCCCTTGGATCAGTAACTGACCTGAAATAAATGATTATAAAGTTATAGAAGTTATCGCCTTATAATTGAAATTAATAATACATATAGAAATCCATAAAATTTGAAATAACTATCAAATTGCAGATCAAAAGGTCATGTGGGACATTGTTATTGCGTTAAATATTATTAATTATAATTTTGGAAGATATAAGCAACAAATAAAGCATTGAAGTGGACACAAGGTCTCAGAGCAATATGTAGCAAAGACTTGTAGTGACAACAATGAACTTTAACTGGACAAATTGAGAACAGTGATGAAAGATGGTATGAACACTTTGGTGGTTAACTTCACCCAATCTGACACAGCATTCATTACAAAATGTGAACACATTACTCGTACTAAAAGTCATATTTGCACAATTAAACCATGAATATTGGAATACTGTAAAATACTTTATTTCACTTGGAATTAATTTTCGCTATTTTCACTGAAGGAATGATTCACTGTAAATAAAATCCAGCGAATATACCTTTTTTCCTATATTTTACATACACCTCGGCAAAAATAAGTGAAAACAGTCTTTAAACGAAAATTAATTCCAGCTAAAATATAGTATTTTACAGTAGTAAACTTGTATCCACAGGACAAGAGTAAACACACCATGAAAAATCTCACAGTTCCACTAAAAGGCTTTTTCTATACATGAATGATTATGGCAGTAATAAGCAGAAAATTTGATTATCACAATAATAATTAAGAGAAATATACTATTTTAATTTATCAGTAGCCAAATACTTTACAGTCGTATTCAAAACTAGTTATCACTAAGACATCCAAACAGTCGGCAACGAGTGCTCTCACATGCGATTCATTTTCCAGATCTTTGGAATGAAACTTCACAGAAGAATACTGCTCATTGAAAGTGCCAACTAAAAGCACCAATTTACAACAATTAATTCACACTTGAAAAATGCCTCAAAGAAGTGTGAAGGATTCACAGTCAGCAAATTTACATTTGCAATTTGACATTAACGGGTGTACAGCAATTAATTATGTCAATTAATAAACGAATCTTTATTTTAGATTCATAATAATCATCTTTTATTTTGGTGATCATCCAAGTATTTCTACAAATATCAGTAAACAGTTATTTATGACATCTGTGAGTTAGTCGGCAGATACGTCTGAATAAACCTAGATTGAAAAGTGACTTTAAGAGCGATACTATGGTCTTTCTATCACTGAAGGTTGTACTCGCATATAACCAATATGTTTCCTATTTATCAACACATTACTGCATGTGAAGGACTTGTGTTACTGACAAGTACCCATTAGTAGTCACTGTAAATAATGCCAACACTTCAATCTTCTAGCAGATTGAAACATCCAATGCCTTGCAATTATACTAGAAATCTAATTTAATTTTAATTTTTTTTTAAAAAAGAAAAAAAAGTATCAAAGTTGTTAGTCATTTGATATTATTTTGGGGGTATATAAATAATTTTTGTAAATACAGAAATAGTTGAGTTTTCAAACTGATGACTTTGGCACAAGTAATCTTGAACATTCCGGCAATACTTCCTTTCGATTTCTGAATTTCAAGTTCATATTTAAATGTATCATAAAAGTCAATGACCTTGTGGTAATGTTTAAACTTTAGATTGTAGATTTACTAATAGGCAGATTGTCTTTTTCCCATACTTTTTTTCTCTTGCCAGCTAAATAATTAAAAAATAATTGTACTAGTTGTAGTAATATTATATGAAAAGTAATGGAAGAAACGTTTTTGAGAATATTCTCTTTAAACCAAAATCAGACTATCACCTTTGATCACATGGTTCTGTTATTGACGCCAAAAAATTAACATCCAATAGAAATGAGTAAGGAAATGCGACAAAAAAGTTGAATATTTAACAATACAACAGCCTGACGTTTAACTCGGTTTTTTAAAGATTTAAATCTCTGGCGAGGCCAACTCTGGCAACTTCTTCAAATAAATATTTACTAACAATGTTTGAATAATTCTATACACAGGGTCAAATTCGACATTTTTCTTTTAAAGTTCCTAAAATATCGACAGTATCGATCGCAGTATACGGAAACAAAGAGGGATAGGCGAAACATCACTGTTAGTGAAGCCCTAAAAAGGAACAAAGAAAATTTCAACGGACCGACATCCTTTCTAAGTTTTGGTGCGTTTTTTTTCAAAAAATGCAAGAAAATGCCGAGAGACAGAGGAAAAAGTTTGAGAACTTTTACTTGTATGGCTGGGTCAGTTGACTGAAGTGTCCTGGAGAGTTGTTTTTCTCTGTAACCGGCGTTCAACGATCAGCTGGTCGGCAATTTAAACCGAACCGACAGACAAAGACTCGCAATGCAAGTAGTGACCAAGCGGTTACTTACCACACAACTCCGAAAGCTCCATAGCCTATGGGACGGTCTGGTTCTACATCTGTACGGGTTACTGTCGCTGCTTGGTAGAAGGGCTGAGTGGCGCTCAGAATTGCGTGTTCTCGGGGAGCGGGGGCCCCGTTGTAAGCCATCTGTCTACTGTGACTGCCCACCACCGCCATTACAAACTTGAACGCCTGCCTAGCTGAATGCAGTACATACGCACCGCGGTACGCTCAAATTTAACAAAGGCTCATCGTGCTTCTACAACCTAAAACTACGTAGATTAGTGCAGGCAGAGAGGTAAGATATAAATGCAGCCTTGAAGAAAGATGCTTCAAAACAGGGTAGCCATAAATGTGAAAAATTACGAAATAAAAATGAAAGACCCCGGCAAGTTGTGAACTGGCGAGCAGAGACAAAGCCCCGTCGTATTCTCGTTGAGATGTCGCGAGAGTTCACGAGACTTTCTTTGAAGGCCACAGCACAGCTAAATATATTTTGTAGAGATCCTACCAAGGTCAAGTACACCGACGACAAAAAGTAAAGCAACGAAGTAAATAATCCGTAAACACATTTATATAAAATGCGACGCAGCCAGTATTAACACAGCGACTGTTCCAAGCGGACGTTTAGAACACATTCGGTTGAGGATAGTCACATGTGTAACGTGAATCGTGGGGGCGTTGTTCGGTGGGTGATTCAACTTTAAGTCACGTGTAACTTACAGTGGGAACGACTTGTCGTGTTTCACGGGTATCCTTGTTTTATCGCCAGATGATTCAATGACGTCATATATATTGACTAGATATAATATAACCTTTCAAGAAAAATGTTACTTTGTCCTTCACTCGTACACGATAACAGAGAAGCTGTTGTGCATTTTTTCCTACTCGCAGTCGTCGTGCCGCGTCCTGTTCGATATGGGACTCATAGCGACGTATACAATGCGTGTAAAATACATTGTTTATTTACATGAAATTAGAACACGCGCTGCGCGACGACCACCGCGCTTTAAGCTTTCATGGACACGGTAACACACTCTTAGTTTCCATTTGACTTATAACCCAGATAAAAAAGTCAAGATAAAGAAAGTAATGTCTTATCATATTTATAACTGCCTCTCTATAAGCCACCACCCATGAAACAATTGAGCTATGAAGAGAAATATTTAGCACAACAACCATTTACCACGGCAACACGAATCAAAAACTGACAAAATTGTTGTTATTTCAATTTATACCCGTGACCCAAGTAACGTTTTAGGTACATTAATGTGCAGTAACTAGTAATTCCCCTTCTCAACTACTACCATATATTTTGTTTTACATGTAATAGTCCAGTTTATTATAATACCGAGATTTCAAAGAACGTTGCTGACTACCGTACGTTATGTTGGAAAAGTGTTCCCAGTAAAAAAAAAAGTTTGCAATATTTTGTTCACAAAACCAGATAGGAATTCATTGTTATAAACACTGAGAAACAGTTTCTTCTTGAACAGGGCGAGGGTCGATCATTTTAAGTTAGTTGTTGGAATCTTTTCACATACGCGTATACATTTTTGTCAGTATGCAGGTACACTCACTTCATGGACGGTCTCAGTTTTTGAACTCAGTCATTTATTTATCAATAGAACCGCTCAATATGCTAAACCAAGCGGTCAACGAAATTAGAAACGTGATGACCACAAGCAACTGAATATCAGCATCTTCCGAAATAAGTTTGCATGGGTTTTGTCGGCATATCCGCCGGCTGTTTACCACCGTAAACAGCCGGCGGATATGGTGTGAGATACGAGGCATTTTGAATCGGATAACTTGATGTGTGACAGGTTGTTTCATAGATCATTGAGGTATAAACATACCTCAATACATGGATTAACCTAACCCAATCTTACCAGAAACTTGGAAAAAAACTACTATGAAAAATTAAACGAGATATAAAGATAACGATTTCCACAGTAGTTTACTCACATGATATAGAAAACAAACAAATGGTTCAGAGTGAATTAAATAATCCAATAAATGAGAACAGATCAAAATTGCAATTAAATCATGATAAATTAAGACTAAAAAAAACATCCGATTATGATGGCTTCTGCTCAGTAATGATAAAGTATAGTTCTTATTTTCTTGTAAACCCACTAAAAAAAACAATTCAATCTAATTCTGAACTCAGAAATCTACCCAGACACGTGGAATATTAGTACCATTTCTCATATTAAAAAAAAAAAAGGTGACAGATCACAGCCAGAAAATTATTAATAGAGAAATTGCAGCTTCTAGTTGCGTAGGAAAAAAACTTGTTGTAGTGTAATTAAGAGTAGACTTGGTCACTTTATTGAGACCAATGACGTTTTACACAATATAGCCAGACAGGTTTTCGTAAAGATCATCGTACTACAAACCATTTTTTATTTTGAAAACTATTATCACCAAATACTTGTAGCTGAATGATAAACTGTATACCTGCTTTATTGACTTTCAAAAGATGTTTGATACAGTTTGGAGAAATGGCCTCTTCTACATTTTACTAAATCAATGGGAAAATAAATAGAAATATTAAGTACATAAATAATAATACACAATCACTTATACGCTACAAACTTGCACCAATATTTCACCAATATTTGAGACAACACCATGAGTCCGATAAGGATGTGTCATTAGTCGTATTCTATTTAATCTATATATTAATGGCCTACATAATTCGTTAGATAACTCCGCAGGAGATCAAGTTCAGTTAAATGGCAATAAAATAAATTCACTTCTATATGCAGATGATTGTGTATTAATTTCTAAATTTCTATAAGTACTATCTGTATCTATTACTTTAACGCTAGTTTCTTGTATGATGACGTCATAGGTCAATACAAAACACGTCAACAGTTCAACGTCCGAGTTTTTCAAAGTTTGGCCCCAAAGATGGGATAGGATACTTGACTCATCTTCGAAACAAAATAAATGATTAGTAATATAACTACCCACGAAGTTTCGAATTATTTGACCATTATTGAATAGCAAGTGACGTACATGTATTTCTGGCACATCACACTGAGCTCTGCACCCCCCCCCCCCCGACATTTCTATTCATCCCATGTATATTTCAAATTGTAGGCCATTGTTTATTTCATGTGAAATTTTGAATGCACGGCAATAATTCCACATTCAGTTTGGTGAGCAAAATTGAACTTGTACAAGTTTTGCTTAGCCCATAAAATCTACACCATTTACCCATTTACATTTGCACAAACTGAAATTCATATACTTCCGAACCGGCTTTGACCTTTGACCTACACGATTCCGAATTAATGTGTCATTCTCTTAGTAATCGCTATCACAGTTTACCAGACAGTCTAGTTCCTCCCGAAACAAGTTATTGGATATCCGGGTTATGTCACGTAATAACACTCATGCCTGAACGTATACAAGAATACCATTACGCCGCGGCTGTCAATAACTATGTCCCTCAGTGACTCTGTCTGACACTGTGTGAATCTTTTTAACAGTTGAAGTTCATTTCATGATGTTCTTTCTCGTACGTGTTCAAATCAGGGTTTTGAATGTGTGTCTACGTTTACAGTGCGATAGGAAATAAGTCGTGACAACATCCGTGTCTCGAACGCTCAGAATGACCGTGACATAATTCACAAGGTCATCACATCTCATTTTTTCATAAAAACTCAGGCTGAAAACGATTTTTATCTTTAACGAAACACACATTTTAGTTGTAAATTCGATTTATATGTGTTATTAGTAACGTTACCATGGACACAACAAAATATTATATATGTAAATTTTAGAATTCAATTCAAATAATATTGGAACGTTTTCAAATGATGTTACATGGTAATAGAATGGAATAGAAGAATAAAATAGAGCTCTATTCAAACCGTAAAAAAAAATGTTTTCTTTTTTGGTAAGAAAAATCAGGCAAGCAAAAATAAAAACAAAGTACATGGAATGGCTGATTCACTTTTGAACTGTATGTTATTTACTGCAGCTGACTAAATAATATTTTGATATTTCGTTAGTTGATTGGCTGGTTGGATTCAACTACCATTGAACATTAAAAATATTTATGAAAATGAAGGGAATGGGTTTGTTTTGTCGACAGTAGTCTGCTTCTCTGATTGGTGGGAATCGTTGATCAATTACAGCACTAGCAACGGTTGTTACTACGACCTGGTGCACTATGCGTAATTGTAGCCGAGTGAGTATCGCTCGGGGTCACATTCCTCTGCCTTGGCTATTTAATGCGCACCTGATATTTACTGCTCATATTGCTGTTGTGTGCAAATAAACGGTTTATGTCCGGATGTCATGGCTCGGCCACGGCTAAGAATTGAATGCGTGTGCCGTGTATAAAGCTGTGACACACCGACCACACATGTAGCAAACAGTTACATCAGGTTAAACGATCCACGTTGAGGTTGACTACGGTTGGTGGTGGACAAAGTGACCGATCCTCCGTTATAGGGGTAGATATAACACACTTTTAAAAACAATGAATTATTATAGTAATACATTGTCTAGAATGTTTGGGAAAATATGTTCATAGTTTCTCAAAATTGGATCATGTTTGGACATAAACATTAATGTTTTCCTCAATTATATATGTTTTTATTGGTGTTTTTGTTAAAATGATTACCTTTCTCACTAGCTACATTTGGTTTATTTGTACATTTGTATTTTTAGATAGATAGATAGATAGAATTTTTTATTTGGAACGTACCAATGAAATCTTGAGTAAAGTCCAAAAATAACAATAACAAAACAAGACAAAACATTCAGAACAACAAAAACTTTCAGTACTAAAACATATCAAGAATATAGAAAATAAATTTTGCAAAAATGCTAAGAATGAAAAAATCATTACTTGAAAAAATAATAGGAAATAATTCATCCATGCTAAAATCTTCCAGCTTTGGGGCATAGATGTATAAAGCTGCAAGGAATCTAGATCTTTGTTCTTTGATTTGACAATTATTACAATATAAAATGTAATGTTTCTCATCCCCTACTTCATTCCATTCATGGAGATTACATAGCCTGTTTTCCTTCAAAATGCCTTTATGTCTACCGGATTCAATGGGAAGAAAATGTGCAGAAGTTCTAAATTTAGTATAAGCTATTCTATGATTTTTATTTTTAATTTTTTTCTAAATAATGTTCAAATTCAAATTTTTTTTAGCACACCTGTAAAAGTCAAGCTTACAATTGTTCAACAAATTGTTTTTCCACTTCATACGGTACAAACATTTGAGCTTCTCTTTAAAAATATCACAAAAATTATACTGATGTGGGTCTGAATTAGTTAGATCTGTTATGACTAGTAATTT